GGAGGCGGAAGTGGAGCACATCTTAACGGAGGAATCGGACCATCAGGCTATCCTTGTGCGTGCGCAGGAGACGGCTCCAAGGCGGCGCAATGGGAGTGTGAGGCCATTTCGGTTTGAGGAGGCCTGGACTAGGCATGAACAATATGACACAATGATTGAGCATGCTTGGATGGCGGCGGGAACGGGAGATGAAGGGCTATCTGCTGCATGGAGTAAGTTCGCTACGATGACGGGCTCCATGCAACGTTGGGCACGAGAGGTCTTTGGTTCCATCAGGAGACAAATAAAAATGCTTAAGGCGCAGTTGTTGGAAGCAAAGGAGAGAGCTCTCGTCACGGGGTCTTCACTGGAAGGCCGACATATTGAAGAGCAGCTCCGAGAAATCTATGCCCGGGAGGAGGTAATGTACCGACAGCGGTCAAGGGTGGACTGGTTACGGGCAGGAGACAAAAATACGCAATATTTCTAGCAACGTGCCTCGCATCGAAAGAGAAAAAACACGGTCAAGGCACTTCGGCGCACGAATGGAACCATGTGCAAGATTGATGATGATATGCGTGACATGGCTGCGGCATTCTACAAGAATTTGTTCACAACGGAGGGCTCACAGGATGCCAATATAATTCTCCAGCATATTGACTGTTTGGTGACAGGTGCAATGAACGAGAAGTTACTATCCCCTATTACGGATGAGGAGATTGAAACAGCGTTGTTCCATATGGGGCCGACAAAGGCTCCGGGGCCAGATGGACTGCCGACGCTCTTTTACCAGCGACACTAGTCGCTTGTTCGTGCTGACATGTGTAGGGCGTTGAAGGATTTTCTACATGGTGTGGCAGCGCCGGATGCCTTCAACGCAACGATCATTGTTATGACTCCAAAGTGTAACTCACCGGAGTTACTATCTCAGTTTCTTCCGATTAGTCTATGCAATGTTCTCTATAAGATTGCGACGAAGGTGCTAGCAAATAGACTAAAAGGCATTCTGCCGGTTCTTATATCAAAGGAGCAGAGTGCTTTCGTGCCGGGACGGTTGATCACGGACAATGTTCTTGTTGCATATGAATGTGTTCATGCGATCAGAAAGCGGAAGAGGAAGAAACCTTTTTGTGCGGTGAAGCTGGACATGATGAAGGCATATGACCATGTAGAGTGGGATTTTTTGCAGCAAATGATGGAACGGATAGGTTTTGCAAATGACTGGATCTTGATGATAATGAGATGCGTGAAGTCGGCGACTTTTTCTGTCAAGCTTAATGGAGGTTTATCACGTGGCTTCTCCCCATCTAGAGGGCTCAGACAGGGAGACCCTCTCTCTCCTTATCTGTTTCTATTTTGTGTTGAAGGCTTTTCTGCGTTACTCAAACATGCACAATAGGAGAGGGAGGTGAAGGGTGTGACTTTCGGGAGCACTGGCCCCCATGTTACACATCTTCTTTTCGCGGATGACAGCATAGTTTTCTTAGAGGGGACACGGAGCAACATGCAAAAGCTGAAATAAATCTTGAGGCAGTATGAGGAGGCTTCGGGCCAACGTGTCAACTTAGAGAAGTCGTCGATCTTCTTTGGAAAAGGGCAGCAAGAGGAGGACAAGCAGGAGTTGAAGGACACCTTGGGCGTCCAGTCGGAGGCGTTAAGTGAGAAGTATCTTGGACTCCCAACACTGGTTGGGAAATCCAAAGACGGAACCTTCAAATATGTGACTGAAAGTGCGAAGGGCAAAGTGAATGGAGTGAAGGGGCAAGGCTTGTCAAAGGCAGCAAGGGAAGTGTTGATCAAATCAGGGCTGCAAGCTGTACCAACATTCACCATGAGTTGTTTCCAGCTCACGAAGAAAATATGCCGGAACCTGACATCAATTTCTTCTAAATTCTGGTGGGCGGCAACACATGGTGAACACAAGGTACATTGGATTTCTTGGCAGAAGATGTGTGCTTCGAAGAGGGAAGGGGGAATGGGCTTCCGAGATCTAGAGGCATTCAATCAAGCGCTGCTAGCGAAACAAGCATGGAGACCCATTGAGCAGCCCAACTCACTGTGTGCACGTGTGCTCAAGGCTCGCTACTGCCCCGGCGTCGGCCTCGTTCATTTTCCGTAGCATTCTGTGGGGGAGGGACCTGCTAAGGGAGGGGCTCATATGGCGTATTGGGAATGGTACTGCGGTTAACATACACCACGACAATTGGATCCCACGCGCAGGCAGCATGAAACCCCTTGGACAAGTGTTTGTTAATGGCGTAATCAAGGTAGCTCATCTGCTAACACCAGATGGGAGTAGCTGGAATATGGAGAGAGTTCAGTTGATGTTCTCGGAGGACGACGCAAAAGATATACAGCAAATAGCGATTGGGGGACCGAGCTGTGAGGACTATCTTGCTTGGAACTTCACGCACAATGGTGTCTATTCGGTGAAATCTGGGTATCATTTGCGGAGGGCTCTGGATATGGCGAGGATTGGATGGCCGGAATCCTCGAGTTCTGTTGAAAAGCATAAAGGGTACTTGGCTTTATGGGATACCAATGCGCCTCCAAAGGCCAGAATTCACATGTGGAGGATGATTCGGAATGGACTGGCGGTGGGAGCAGAATTGCACCGAAGGAGAATCAAGCCTGGGATTTTTTGCGTGGCGTGTGGGAGGGAAGAAACGGTGCTACACCGTTTTTGGTCCTGTCCGCACTCCACATTGTTCTGGCAGCTGTTGTACTCAGAAAAGGGAGTCATGGTGGCTAAACCACCGTGTCCGATCGACTCCCAGAGTGCGTTGGCTCGCTGGCTTCTGGGATGGTTCGCCGGGGCGTCTAATGACGAGCGAGGTGCAATGATTCAGGCTACGTACGAGCTCTGGCTAGCACGGAATGAAACGAGGGAAGGAAAGAGCATAGCCCCGCCACATGAAATCATAGAACGCGTGGTCACTCAAATGGATGAATGGGGAGCTGTCCATACCGAAAACAAGCCTCCCAGAGAGCAACAGATCAAGCAGAAGTGGAAGCCTCCAGATGAGGGGTGGCTTAAGCTCAACTCGGACGGGGCTGTTTCTAGGTCAGGGAGAAAGGGGGGCGTTGGAGCTGTGATAAGGGATGAGCATGGGGCCTTTTGTGCAGGGCTGTGCCATTTGGTCCGAGGCATGACCGACCCAGAGATGCTAGAGGTTCATGCATGCAAGAAAGGCCTTGTCTTGGCGCAGGAGATACAAGCAGAAAAGGTACATGTGGAGATGGATTCACAAAGAGTGGTTAAGATGCTCAATAGTCAGCACAAGGAGATGTCAACTGCTGGCCCATTGATTCAAGAGCTGAAGACGTTGCTATCTTCGTTTGTTAGCTCCAAAGTCACTTGGGTTCGTCGTACTGCAAATGTTGCCGCTCATAAACTAGCAAAAATAGGGGTAGGAGATGAGCTTTGCAAGGTTTGGGTGGGGGTCACCCGTGTGTGCTCGATGTAATCTCGGATGATATTCCGAATGCGTTTGATTAAATAAATGCGGCAATATTTCCCCTAAAAAAAGTCATATATTACAAAAAAAACATACCATTATAAACTTAAGATGTTCTATTTTCAAATGATTATTTCGTTATATAGTTTATATTACGGTGATAAAATTGACAACCTAGGGGTACGCGCACGCCTTGTAAACTGAAACGGAGGGAGTATTCAGGGTTGCAATGCTATAATTTTAAAAAAAAGTTATGGGGATAGACTAGCTAAGCTAGTGCTTAATTTCGCAAACAACAAAAACTTAGAGAAAAATGACTTTTGAGGATGGTACAGAAGTTAACATGGATTTTATCTTTTAAAAAAGGATTCCATAAAAAAAAAGTTAACATGGATGGGGTTGCAGCGCAAGGGGCAAAAAAGCATAACAAAAAGGGACCTTGGCCGTGACGACAAGGAGCCGATGGAGGGACGCCCAAGATTGGCGGCATGTGCCATCGGCGATGCGGACGCAGCCAAGTGGGGCCACGTTGATAAGCACGTATCCGTAATCCATGTGACCCGCCCCCGCCCCCGCCCGCATAAACAATCCGCTGCCGTTGCCGTGCCTTTCAGCGCCTTGTCTCCCCTGCCTAATTGCTCCGGGGATACCTGCAACGCCACCCCCCAAAAATAATCGATCACTCAACCAACAACCCCACTGGTTTTATAGTACTCCTGATTAGTGCAGGATTCCCTTGCCGTTTGTTTGGAGCCTGGGAGAAATTACCCAAATAGTGGTGGTGGTTTCTTGATCCGGTTTAATTTAATAAACGCTAGAAATTACCCGAATAGTATTGGTTTCTTGATTTGCTTAATAAACACCGGAAGAGATTGCTACAGTGGTTCCTTGATCTGGTTTAATGAACACTTTGTAAAAATTGGTAGAGTATTGGTTTCTTGATCTGGTTTAACAAACGCTACTACAAAGTACCCGAATGGCACTGGTTTCTTCATCTGGTTTAACAACAGGTACAAAATACCCGAATAGCACTGGTTTCTTGATCTGCTTTATTAATAAACACCTGCAACGATTCGCAATGGTTTCTTGTTAAGATCAGCTACCAGTTCCTGAAATTGGTAATACAACGGTGTGCACGGAAAGAGTAAAATAAGGAAACTTTAGTAGTGATTTTTCCATAAATATCTGGAGAGAGAAGTTAGGGGCATCCAAGAGGCAAGAACACAGAGGCCCCTCTGGTGTTCACAACACATCCTTGTTCCATCAATTTTCCGTTTCTCGTAAAAAAAGCCGAAGGCCGTACACAAATTTCTCATCACACAAAGCGCTACACCCGTAGGAGCGCTCTCTGCTGAAAAATATTTACACGGTACAGCGATGGCACGAGGCGTACAGAAAACGAAACCAAAAGGCAAATGCGAAAGGCGAGGAGCAGAGCCCTCTGCTAGGATCCATCTAAATTCCTACGCGCACACGGAGAGGCCACACACGGAGCTAGCACATAGCCGGGGGCGACGCGACGGGGCGAATCTCTCTCTTCTCTTCTCTTCGCTTCACTCGTGCCTAAATCCAGGCCGTCAGGGTGGGGGCCGGCGGCGACCACGACTCGTCGGCGGCCGCGGCGGCCGGGAGGAGGCGGGAGCGGCAGAGCGGGCAGGTGGCGTGGTCGTAGTCCAGCCAGGTCTCGAGGCAGGCGCGGTGGAAGAGGTGGCCACAGGGCAGGCGGTTCACCACGGCGTCCGCCTCGAACCGCACCAGGCAGACGCGGCAGTCAGGCACCGCCGCCGCGCCCCGCCTCCGGCCGAAGCGCGCGGGGCGGAACCTGCTCCTGAACCTCTCGGCCAGGCTGGGGGCCGCCGGGGTGGCCGCCGTGAGCTGGTCGGCGCCGTCGGCGTCCTCCCCGGCCAGCAGCGACGGCGGCGCGGGCAGGCCGAGGAAGACGAGCGCGGCGCGGAGGAGGCCCGCCAGGGCGGCGATCGAGACGACGGCGTGGTAGAGCAGGTAGATCAGGAGGCTCTCCTTGGGCGCCGGCATGCTGGAGATGCCCATCGCGGCGGCCTGGAGGATTGGGGATCGATCCGTGGACCCGTCTGCAATTTGCGCCTTCTTTCAGGGGCGGTTCGGTCTGAGCGGCTGTGGTGCTGGTGTGGTGGGATGGATACAGTGAGGGAGGGGGAGACGGGGTGGGCGCATTTATAGCCGGGCCGGGGCTGCTGGTGTCACCTCCCTATCCATCCCATCTCGTTCGGGTGGTGCACCGCGACCCGTGTTCGCCAGCCCACCGCCGTCGGATCCGCGCGACGGACGTCCGATAATTCCCCGCGCTTGGGTAGGGGACACCCCACATGCGATGCGGTTCGATCGTGGGCGCCCAATAATTCCCCGCTCTGGTTCGGTTTGTGGCGTCCAATAATGCGTGCATGGTTCCTGAGGCCAATTATTTGGGCCGGCCGATCCAAAACCCGGTGGACGCATTTGTACGTGCATTGCACCGGAGATGATGGTACAATATCGAGTGACCGATCTCACTGTCACGGGACAGTGGAAAATCATCGGGCGCGATTGGCGAAGCTGATTGGCTGGCTGACGGCCCCGACCGATCCAAATCAAAAAAAGCTGAGTGCGAAAGGGAATTCAACGCAGCGTACCGAACATAAGCGGCTCAGCACGATCCCCGCCATTTATCTGTTGCGAACCGTGACGTGCTTGACTCACAAGACATTATCGCAACCTCATTTCAGTTTTCTTTCTGCGGCGGTCATTTCAGTTGAAAAGACGGAGGATTTTTCTTCCGAATCTTTTCTCGTGGAAATAGTAGTATTTCCTTCCGATTCTGCGGGAATGGTAATCCCGGAGGAGGATCAGCTCGCCGATCGGGTTGCCGTGCCTGCACGACTGCGGCCGGCCGGTCGAACCGACCCCGACCCGACGCGAGCCCCGCCCGGCCGGTCCCGATCAGTCCGTGCACCGAATTGGGATGGGAATCGATCTCCTGGTACGTACGCCACTGCACTACGTCCCCTCCCCATCGACGCAGTTACGGCCGCGACCAGTCTTGGACGCGCGAGACAGGGACGCCAGAGACGGCGACCGACGCGGTCACGGACGCTGCGGCTCAGCCGTTCGGGTTCAGCGGACGGACGCGCGGCCGCCAGGTCCGGTGCCCCGCCCTCCAGGATGCCTCCGGCGACCCGTGTACTACCCGTGGGTGCCGGCCGGCTGCGATGGATGTGGAGGGTCTTGACCACTAGGCACACCAGTGGGCAGCGGCTGCTTGCTTTGCGTAATTGCTCGGCGTGGCCAAAGTCTCGGTGGAACGCACCTAACCATTTCTCGCCCGGGTGTCGCCGGTCGATGAAAGTTGCTTGACAAGCTACCGAATACAGTACTGTAGTGGAAGTACTACTTGCTTATGCTATGTGCCCGTCAATAGTAATCCATCCGACTAATCAGAAAAAGAAGAAAAAAACAGAAAGACGGTCCGGTTAGGCTAGCTTGACTGCTACTATTACTAGTAGGCAGTAGTACGTGCAGCTCAAGCTTTTTTTGACGGGTACGTGCAGCTCAAGTGTTTGTGTTGCGTCTGAACTTGACCACCAACGGCCTGTTGACCTGCGCGGCTAACTAGCTAAGCCGGTGGAGTTTTCAAATGGCCCGTTGCTCTGTCGGTTCATATAGTAAGCTTTTACTGAAAGTTTAATGGGGAATTCTGTTCACACGCGCACCGTCCTTGCTCAAACTGAGATCGACCGATATCTTTATTTACTACTCCACCGATGGCGACACCAAAGCACAGCCATCAGCGACAGGCATGCATGTCAGGGAAAATCGAATTTTTTGGATCCTTAGCGAGGTTTTGCTGAAAACAAATTGGAAATTCTGCTCACACGCGCACCGTCCAGAGACCACGGCACGAAAGCACACAACCAGGCCATATGGGATGCATGTTTACGTAGCTACTTGACGACTATTCATGATCATTTCTCAGTGTGCCTGCCTCGTAACATTAACATTTTGCTCGACCGGCGACAGCGAAGGGCAGGAGAATTCCTGTGGGTGGGGCGCGTCCACTACGGCGAGAGCTGTGCCGTGTAGCATCGCACGGCACGGCTCGATCAACCGCCTAAACAAGGTGGTTGCTTGCGTTAAGCGTCCGGTTTGGCGTCGTCCCTACTGCGCCGGCACATGCAGCGGCAGGCCCGAGTCGCGGTGGCCAGGACGAACGAGCACGCGTGGCAATGTGAAACGAGAGGCGAGCAGTGGCCTCAGGAGAGGAGAGGAGGTCGATCGAGCCAAGCAAACGAACATGCAACTTGATGGTAGAGTAGTTTATTTAGCGCATTAGGATAGTGTTTCGGTGCTTCTGGCTACTTAATGACTGGGATAAGCGAAGATTTCGCGGCAGATTTGGCGCGTGTGGACTAGTCAGGAGGGGTAGTAGTATATGTGGGTGATGTGGGCGCCGGTGATCCACATCTGGAATCCGGTGGACGGCTCCACCCTTTCTGCCAACCTGTTGGTGCCTAGCGTACTCTACTACGTCCACTCTCCCCTGCCGCTCGTTCTTCTCCAGCCTCTTGCGTGGTTTCAGGACTGTTGCAATCTTTACTTTACATGCTGCTAGCATAGTTTATTAAGTGGTCATACCGCTGAGTCTGCACTTCTGGTGATTACGGCCATTACCTGATCTTTCTTTTTTTGCAAACTACTGCGGGTGTTAGTTTATGTAAGCTCGTCTCGAATGCTCCATGCTGACGATAATTGACAGTCGATTACTCTATCTATTTAGGAGTAGCTTATTAAAAGATTCCACTGTGATAGTTTTTTTATGTAATACTCAAGGCTAGTCGATATTTAGGAGTAGTTCCGTGGTGATGGTTAGTTTCAGTCTTCCAGATAACTTGCGTGGTCTAGCCCGTGACCCGCAAGGCTAGTCGCGAGGCCAGCTCGTAGGCGCGCGCGCGGGCGTGCGTCCTAGCAAGGAAGCTAGCAAGCAAAGCGCGTGGGCGTAGTGCTGCGTACCGACGAGACGAGACCACCGGGGTCGCCGCTGACGTCCGTCGTTGCTTTCCGGCGCCGTCCGAGCGCTGCGGTGCGCCCAGCGCGGCACGCGGGGTGCGTCCCCATCCCCCGCGCCCGGGTCACGTGGCCGCCGCGTGGCCCGCCCTCCGGTCGACAGCGAGGCGCGCGAAAGCAACGTGGCGGTGTCTCGAACCGGCGAGGGGGGAGGGAGGTCGCGCCGAGACGTGGGCGCGGCTCGCTCGCGCCAAGGCGTGGTGGGCCCGCGCGCCCACGCCGCGCCTCTAGCCGCCGGGGGCCACCCGGTGTGCCCGTCCGAGCTGTCGACGTGGCGCCCTCGCTCTCATCACGCGCCGCGGTCGAGCGCCCGCCCGGTGCGTGCGTGCGCGCCGCTTGACCGCGTGTCTTGTCACCTACGGGCTGCGTTGAACTGTGGTGACAAGTGTCTGCCACCATGCTGACAACTAGTCCCGTCGTGAGTGAGACCCGTATGTGTGTGTGCGCGCGTGAGAGAAGCGTGATCGGATTTCTCTCTCTCGTTCGCCTCATCGCCTGCGTGCCGCCGTGTGCTGGTTGGAATTGCGTGTGCTTGTGTTTGATGTCAGGCGAGGATCTTCGTCGGACGGTCCTGGAACCGTCTAGAAGCAACCACGCCACATGGTTACTGTATTTGTTTTTTTATAAGACCTGGCAATAGCTTTGGTTTCATGTCCTTCCTTGGTCCGGAAATTACATGTTGATGGATGTATCTAAAATTGATGCGGATCGCTTTTTCAAAAGAGGCATACGCCCCGCTTTATATATAAAGCATCAACCGAACACATTACACGGCCGAATGAAGCAAGTTGGTGAGGTGACTCTTTTACAAAGCCGATGCCAGCATAGACGGATCACACACACAACACTACCGAAAGAGAAAACACAGAGATCTAAGAACAACACCACACCACGCTCTACTACACCTAAGCACCACGACAACACCGTCAAGAGGATGCGGCACACTTTCATAGTACCAAAACAACTCACAAGCAGTAGTAACTAACTCCATCAATCAAATGATAAAGCACAACAACCAAGAAACACAGATAAATATATTGCAGCGGTAACTATCTTGATTTATAGGGACACAACTAAAAACCTAGATAGAATCTTAAGAAGGAACCCCGAGGATCCTTGTGAATTAAGGATCGGCCCTTCAATCCCACACACAAGCTAACACTCAAAATAAACTAGTGCTCTCAACACAACACCTATCACCTCACCTTTTATCTTTTAAAAAAAATCTCACCGGCTATTTTTTTCCTTTGAAAAAAGACCTCATCGGCAGTCTATCAACGTAAACTCAGAAATCTTATCCCCATTCATATGGAACAACTAGGAGTACTTATATATATATATATATATATATATATATATATATATATATATATAGGACAAATGTTTCCTACAAGCAGTGGTAGTTACCACCACTTGCGTTTGTATGTTGTATGTAGTATCTGACGAAACCGAGAGTATGTACGTGCAGTATGTAGTATATAACAATGATTAGGTAGTATATATACTAATTTTTAGGTAGTATATACTTTGTTTTGAGTATGCTCTTTTTTACGTACAAATATGTATGTATTTTGCAAATATAACAAAAACTATGGGCTCATATGCAATTTTTTCATGTAACTTGCTTTGAAATATCTTAGATATAGTATATGAATATATTTAAAATAATAAAATAATGTATATAGTACCACATGGTAGTATATGAGACATGTGGGGTAACTACCCCAGGTGGTAGGATGGAATTTCCCTATATATATATATATATATATATATATGTATGTATTAAAAGCACCTACTAGTTAGGTGGGAAAATAGCTCAAAATGAAGGGTTAAATTATGAGCCTCAAGCTACAGCAGGAGCAAACTTGTTGAGCCTTGCACTATTATTAATTTCCATACAACTCGCATTGGAACATGCATAATTTTGACTCAAGATCTTAAATCAATCATCATTTATTTTCCATGAAAGTTGG